CCTCTCCTGGATTGGCTGGAGCCTTCTTTTGGCGCCTTCCCAGCTTTGACAAAAGTTCAGCTGGGATAACCATCTTTACTCAGGGCCTTCTTGTCAAGAGGGCCATTTACATGAAAAGGGAAAGACCATCTCTGAATCAAGGAGGGGGCCTAAAGGTACATCTTTCACCATCTTACAATGCTGTGATTGCAGCCGTTCCCCAACTCTCTGTGAATGGTCCTCATGGCCATTGATCAGTGGTTGTTGATCAGTGGTCATGAGAATTTGCATAATTATGATGAAGGAACTGACCTCCCAGCCCATTGTTCCTTCAGTCGGCTGGTTTCAGTCATTATGTACTGTTTACAAGACTGGGGACGCCTGCAGTCAGCTGAGCCTGAAGAAGTCACTTGGATGAGTGACGAAACGTTTCTCCCACTGAAAACGCTACGTCCAGATGAACAGAATCAACTTTTGGAGGATTACCTAATAACTGTTCCTCAGCCTGTCCTCACGTTGGACACTTGCTGTTGTCACGGATGGAAATCAAATGTGTGATAAGCTGCAGGATTCAGACACAAGTATAACTTATAAATATATGTTCATACTTTTATTACACAATCAGAGAGAAAGAAACAGAGAGAGAGAGCAGGACAGACAAAAAAGTGACAGTCTCAGGTGTACACACTGCTGATTTGCATATATTTTAAAGTAAAGGCTTTAAAACCAAGTTGACTCTGCAAGTACTAACATCACTAATGTCACATAACTTTGCCGACATGTTTTAAAATAGTAATGTTTTAAAGTTCTTCGTTGTCAAACATATGCACATAAATAAGTGGCATAATATTCAGTACTTGCTTTTAAAAGTTTACTCTTCGGCTGCCCCGTTTCAGCCATCCGCCATTTTTTTTTTTTTTTAAATTATCCACACTCAACGCCGCGCTATGAATTCTGGGATATGCTGGGCCACAAAGGATACACTGACCCATCCTTCAAATTTGGGGAAATGAAGGACGCATTTGGAGCAGTGATGTAATTGGCCAGCTTATGCTGCCTGTAACATCGTTCAGCATGACTGGTACTACCAAACCGGTCATGGCTACAACTGTAGCTTGCCTCCACCAGTGTATGAATGTGAGAGTGAATGAATAGTGGTATTGCAAAGCGGTATTGTTCTGTGCCCCTGTACCAGTTTCCTTTGTTAGAATTCCCACTGCCTTTGTAAATCTAGTATTTCACGTAGTTCCGTATCACTCCTGTTTGCTAAGGTTATTAAAGTCTCATGTTATTCCTCTTAGTTCAATGTTTTCATAGTTCACAGTTGCATTATGGCCCCCTTGAAAATAAAGTTCTGTTAATTACACTCACCCGTGCCTCACTGTGTGATCTGCACTTGAGTCTGGTTGACTGGGTTGGCCTCGGCCATGACTCTACAGCCTAGGCAATGGTACCCTTACTGCTATTAGATATCCAGATGAAATCCTTGGATCTACTGTCAGACTAGTGGGTCCTGAGTTCCTCCTGGTGCACAATAGTGCACATCCTCAAGAGTATGCAGACAGTTGATCTGCATACAGTGGGTAAAATAAGTCTTGAACAAGTCACCAATTTTCTAGGTAGATATATTTCTAACAGTGCTATTGACATGAAATGAATTCAGTTGTGAATAAAAATCAAGTTCATCAGAATTAAATTCATCATACCAGTACCTGTTCTCCAAGTACATCTTTAGTAAATGGACCTCTTAATGTATGTATCCAAAATGAGTTTGGGCATCCCTTTCTTTTAATATTAACAGTTTAATATTATCTGTGCTAATCGTAAATGTCTCAGATGTACCATTAATTGGCAACTGCACAAGCCATTTTCCATCAGTGCAGTCGTTATCAGCTTTATGTGTAATGCATTGTCCTCCTCGCTATCACTCACAGTCTCCACTGTTCCTACAATTGTTGATGAACACATTGGACTGACAAGCTACACTCATATCTGACACTTCATATACCAATGCCTTTTCTCAGGGTTAAGTTGAACTCCAGCTGCAGCCTCTGGGGCTCTTCACTATCGGCTATATTGCAATCACATATCTATACATCTTTGTTGGCACCAAAATCACAATGCTCTCCTAGCTTCTACATTCTCGCCAAGGCATTGGGAACGTTGATGGACATTTGTGAATTTTGTAATGCCTGGGCTCAAATATTTTATACGAATTATCCTTAACATACAGGGAGTGCAGAATTATTAGGCAAATGAGTATTTTGTCCACATCATCCTCTTCATGCATGTTGTCTTACTCCAAGCTGTATAGGCTCGAAAGCCTACTACCAATTAAGCATATTAGGTGATGTGCATCTCTGTAATGAGAAGGGGTGTGGTCTAATGACATCAACACCCTATATCAGGTGTGCATAATTATTAGGCAACGTCCTTTCCTTTGGCAAAATGGGTCAAAAGAAGGACTTGACAGGCTCAGAAAAGTCAAAAATAGTGAGATATCTTGCAGAGGGATGCAGCAGTCTCAAAATTGCAAAGCTTCTGAAGCGTGATCATCGAACAATCAAGCGTTTCATTCAAAATAGTCAACAGGGTCGCAAGAAGCGTGTGGAAAAACCAAGGCGCAAAATAACTGCCCATGAACTGAGAAAAGTCAAGCGTGCAGCTGCCAAGATGCCACTTGCCACCAGTTTGGCCATATTTCAGAGCTGCAACATCACTGGAGTGCCCAAAAGCACAAGGTGTGCAATACTCAGAGACATGGCCAAGGTAAGAAAGGCTGAAAGACGACCACCACTGAACAAGACACACAAGCTGAAACGTCAAGACTGGGCCAAGAAATATCTCAAGACTGGTTTTTCTAAGGTTTTATGGACTGATGAAATGAGAGTGAGTCTTGATGGGCCAGATGGATGGGCCCGTGGCTGGATTGGTAAAGGGCAGAGAGCTCCAGTCGACTCAGACGCCAGCAAGGTGGAGGTGGAGTACTGGTTTGGGCTGGTATCATCAAAGATGAGCTTGTGGGGCCTTTTCGGGTTGAGGATGGAGTCAAGCTCAACTCCCAGTCCTACTGCCAGTTTCTGGAAGACACCTTCTTCAAGCAGTGGTACAGGAAGAAGCTCACTCCTTGGCGGCCGCTTATCGGGGCCTGGAGCCTGGGGCTCGTGCCACTTCGGAGGTGGGGTGCCCCCGGCCTCTCGGCCTGGGGCTCGGTCACTCAGGCCGGCTGGCTGCCGGCGGAGCTCACGGGCGCGTCACTGCAACTCCCCCTGGCTTCTGCTCCGCGGCTGCTGAGTGAGCCCTCATCTGGGACTCTCCTCAGCTCTTTCTGGGACAGTGGCGCAGCTGCCCCTCTGTTGGTCTTCCTTGGTCTCTTGTGTTCTGGGGGCCTCTGGATGTCTGGAGTTTTGATCTCCTCCAACCTGCTTCAGCCCTGGAGGACGGGGCTGTGGCCCCCCCACACCCTCTAGCAGATTATTACATGAAGGAACCTTCAGCGCGTCCATGCTCACAGGTGTACACACGGGTGATCACACCCACAAACTACACCCTTTTTGGCTCCTACCTCAAAGCACACTGTGTTCTGTTGATCTTATGTGCTGCACAATAATGTTTAATATTTAGTATTTACTGTCATATTCCCATATATCATTGTGATGTTGTTTATTCTATTACTCTTGTTCTCTTCTGCTTGTTTTCTTTTTTCTTTCTCAGCAGGTGACCAGGTGATTGATATATGCATTTTTTTTTTCTCTGCCCGTTCTGTTGGTTTTTGTCTTTTGCCCTTCTCCCCCGTCCCTCTTCTCAGCTGTTTCTCTTTCCCTCTTTCTTTCTCCCCTTCTTTCCCCCAGTCAAGTCTGTCCCGTATTCAGTAAGTGAAAATAAAATAAACAATAAAAGGTGAATCAAATGGACCATTACGGCAAGGCTGGGATGGTCATTTGGTAAAGTAAATCCGTTGGGCATCTTTCTTTGCCTTTAGACAACAATTCTGATGGCAAAAGAGCCAAACGGACAGGCAAAAAAAAAAAAAAAAGAAGTCTGCATCCTTCAAGAAAAACATGATTTTCATGCAGGACAATGCTCCATCACACGCGTCCAAGTACTCCACAGCGTGGCTGGCAAGAAAGGGTATAAAAGAAGAAAAACTAATGACATGGCCTCCTTGTTCACCTGATCTGAACCCCATTGAGAACCTGTGGTCCATCATCAAATGTGAGATTTACAAAGAGGGAAAACAGTACACCTCTCTGAACAGTGTCTGGGAGGCTGTGGTTGCTGCTGCACGCAATGTTGATGGTGAACAGATCAAAACACTGACAGAATCCATGGATGGCAGGCTTTTGAGTGTCCTTGCAAAGAAAGGTGGCTATATTGGTCGCTGATTTGTTTTTGTTTTGTTTTTGAATGTCAGAAATGTATATTTGTGAATGTGGAGATGTTATATTGGTTTCACTGGTAAAAATAAATAATTGAAATGGGTATATATTTGTTTTTTGTTAAGTTGCCTAATAATTATGCACAGTAATAGTCACCTGCACACACAGATATCCCCCTAAAATAGCTAAAACTAAAAACAAACTAAAAACTACTTCCAAAAACATTCAGCTTTGATATTAATGAGTTTTTTGGGTTCATTGAGAACATGGTTGTTGTTCAATAATAAAATTATTCCTCAAAAATACAACTTGCCTAATAATTCTGCACTCCCTGTATTGTTTGTCTCTTGGTCCAGTTTAGTAGCAACTCAAAAGCAGGAAAAACGTTCCCTCCAGACCGGCCATTCTGCTGGTTGAGTAAGGCCAAACAAATCAGGTTCAAATGATAGGATTCTATAGCAGCCACAAGAAAAATTAGTTTATACATTCAGGTTTATGAAAACAATTTATTTCAAAACATTAATGTAAATTTTATAGTAGTTTGATTTGTTACCTGTTGAGAATCTTTTGGCTATATTTATGTTTGCTTTCTGAAGCAAAAAGCTAAACCAAAATGCACAGTCTGTGTTCTGAGTGTTTGGTTTGTGAAAGTAGATGAGGCCTCTTTGGTCATTTCCTTTTAAAACCATACATGCATATACATACACTTGTATGATGGCACACATGCATATGTAATGTTACTGCGCTTTGGCAGGAAATAACACTGATACTGCAAAGTGGCGGCTCTTTTTAGCCCAGTGTGATTAGATTAGTGAAGAAGATGGTTTCTGCTGCCACCATTGCTGTGTTTTTGCTCTGCTGCTACTTCAGTGCTTCCTCAGGTACGGTACAAATAATCGTATTATTCTGTCTGGTTCATTTTTTAGCTCTAAAATCCAATCTTACTGATTATGATTTTATCTATCTATCTATCTGTCTATCTATCTATCTATCTATCTATCTATCTATCTATCTATCTGTCTGTCTGTCTGTCTGTCTGTCTGTCTTTCACTGTACTATATTTTTTTCTTGTTTTTTAAATAAAAAAGTTAAGGTTTTGTAGCTCTTAAGCAATTACAAATAAATAATTTGCTTTTCTAATATTATCTGATTATATCATCTGATTCCTCACCTTCTTTTCTGTTTCAAAGGCTCTCAGGATGATTGTGTTTATGCTGCGACAGGATCAAGCTTTACTGTGCCCCTTAAACATGAGTTGGAGGAGTCAGCTAACCTGAGATGGTTCAAGGACAGAACCATAATCTTTTATCGCAGAGGTAAATATGTGATCACGGGGAAAAATGATTATGTGGATTCAACTGGATCACTGAAGCTGACACGACTGACCAAAGACATGTCAGGACGATACATCCCAGAGGTTACCAATGCAGATGGACTAAATGTGGGACATTTACCAAGTGTGCGTTTATGTGTATTAGGTAAGTAACAACACATTATACATATATTTATTGTGTTTGTACTTCTTCTATAACAACAACCAAGTGTGCTAATGTATCAGAAGCTGTTCCAGTCACACTCTGTGATTAAGTGTTTGCTTTTATTTTAAAGTTACTGTTCAGTTTTATCAGTCAACAGTACTTGTTATTATCAGCATTAGTTTATATAATGTTGATATAAATTTTCTTTGCTCAGACCCCGTGAAGAAGCCCAAAGTGACGATGACGTGTATTGAGGCACAAAAAAATGTCAGTTTTAGTTGCAATATTGGTCAGGTCAGTACAATATTTACATTTTATGCTTCATATATATATATATATATA